GGGCAGCCCTCGGGCTCAGCCGGGCCCTAATTACCATATCCCCTCCTGGGCAGATGCAGACAAAGCTCACACTCAGGCCGGGACCGAGGACTGTGTCGTCATGGAAGCCAGCCCACAGCGGGTGGGGCATTGGAGCCTCCACTCACACCTGGTGACTGACCCCGGGTCCCAGTCTGCACACTGAGGGTAGGCCCCGGGGTGAGGGGGTGGCCCGGTGCTGCCCTGGCTCTGGAGCACCAGGCTGCACTCCCGCCACACGGGCTTGGCTGGGCTCAGCTACTGGAAGTGGCCGCCCCACAGCCCCGTGGCACACACGCGTGTGCGCATGCACAGGCACTGGGGCGCCCACCTGGCTGGTGCAGGCGCTCCACAGGTATACGCAGGTGCCCAGCCCCACGCTGAGCACGTTGAGCGATGACCAGTCCACCAGGTTCAGGTAGAAGTCGTCCTGCAGCTCGGGCGCGTCGAGGACCTTGAAGGGGATCTTGGAGATCTTGCGGGTGGGTTTCCGTGGCGACCGCAGCAACTTCTGACTGTAGGGAGAGCCCCAGACAGTGATTCTGTGTCAATCGGTCGCATGGTCACAGTGACTCCTGGCTGACTCTATCCCTTGTTCGCGTGAGCCGCTGGCATCTCTGCACCCGCTCAGCCTGCCCCTCTGCCCACGTGAGCCCAAAACTGTCGGTGACCCCGTGGACACAAGGCCTTTGCCCCTGGGTGTTTGGCCACTCCAGGCCTCAACTGCCACACTGGCACCTCCTCCAGAGAGCCCTCCCTGACTCCCCCTCCCCCAGTTTGAGGCCAACGTCTCTAGGACAAGTGTCCCCAGTGAGGGGGTCCCTCGAGCTCCCTCTGCTCTCTGTGCAGTGTACAGGACCACCTACCTGTAGCCCCCATGCCCCGCCCAGCTGCCCATCCCGCCTTGCAGGCCCAAACTCACCTTTTGTTGCTGACAGGGGACAAGGAGTAGGGAGACACGTCGTTGCCGTCGTCCGGGCTCGAGCGCTTGGTGCTGAGGGAATACTGGGGTGGGGGGTGCACACCTGCTGAGTGGGCCCTGGCCCACAGCTCGGCTGTCCTGAGCGCTGGGTGGCAAAGTGGGGCCCAACCCAGGAGGGGGGTCTGACTGGGGGCACCCCGGGCTCTAGGAACTCGGGAGCAGCAAACCGGGCCGCCTCTTGGCATCTTCCCAGCAGTGACGGCCAGCGTGCTCCTGCCTGGCCACGTCCACCAGCCCTTCAGCTATCGTGAGGGACCCAGGCCAGACTCTGACACCGTCAGGGGCCCCATGAGCTGGGACATTCTCCGTGGGAGAGTCTGCTGAGGCTGCCGCGCCTTTCCCCAGCTGCCGCCCCTTCCCCCAGCATTTGGCTGCCTGTCAGTCACAGAGCACCTGCCCTGTGGTCACCTTTGTCTCAGCAAGTGTCCAAGAGAGCAACAGGCTGTCCCCACAGGCAACAGCAGACAGTGGGGGCATGGCCGGCAGGCTCACCGTGAAGAGGCCCTTCTTCTCCGGGGTGGACGGCTGCAGCCTGCGGTCCTCTGTCTGAGGGTCCTGCACCTTCTCGATGCCGGCCCCCAGCAGCTCGTTCTTGAGCAGGGCCGAGTAAGCCAGGCCGTCTGCGGGCACCAAGCATGGGAGAGGCTGGGGCGGGCCCGGACGAGGCACAGGGTGGGGGTGAAAGGAGGGGTCTGGGGCTCTGACTCCTGACCTTTGCCATTATCTGAGGTGGCGTCCTTGGCTTTCCGGTTCTGGCTGGGAGACTTCTCGTTTTCCTGTGGGACAGAGATAAGCTGGAACGGCCCCAGGCTGCAGGGTCGGTGGTCCTTCCCTCCGACCCCCCTGCCCTCTGCCCTCCGGGGCCCTCACGTTGATCCTGTGGAAATTCACGCTCCAGTTGGCACCGGCTCTTGAGGGGATGAAGCGGTCCCCGTGCTTGCTGGGGGAGGACACGGGGGAGTTGGCAGGTGTCAGGGTCCGCCGCATCTCTGCAACCTGGAAGGACGGCAGGCTGGGGCTGGGTGCCTCAGAGCCTCCCAAAGGCATGCCAAGACCAGCCCGGCCCACCCTGCCTGCTGCACTTGGCCGCTGGCCGTTGAATGAGGGGTTCGATCTTGGAAACCCGAGGGACAGGGGTAACCAGCTCATGTGCCGGTGGCTCCATGAGGCAGGAAGAGCTCGAGACACTGGCACGCAGCGACCATGACAGACAGAAAGCACGGAACAAAGAACGTTTATTCCCTGGGCACCTGCTGCCACGTGGCCACCACCTCCCACCGACCAGGCTGTCCTCCCACAGAGCCGCGACCCAGCTGCCTGCACCAGGCGTGAAGGCGGGTGCCGACCCCACTCGACTACCCCAGGAACGTCCTTAATGTTTAAGGGGCCTCCTGTGGGCTGAACCGTGTCCCCAAAGAGCGTATGCTGTAGTCACATGGGAGTAGAGTGGGCCCTCAACAATGGCCTTATTGGAGAGAGAAAAGCTGACAAAGAGAACGTGATGTGAAAACCAGACAGAGACTGAGGACGAGTCGAAAGGTCAAGGACTGCCGTACCGCAGAAGCTGCGGGAGGCAGGAAGGACCTACCCGGTGCAGCTCAGCCCTGCCCGCCCACCCCACATGCTCCCGCGTCCCAGCACCGACCCCTCCCACAGTGGTCTGGCCGCCCCCAAGCCAGCTTCCTGCATAGGCTGTGCGGTTGGGTACTGGGTCTTTTGCCACCCCGTCTGGAAATGGGAAGGCGGCTCACATTCCCTTGTCCCCCGTTGGTCCCGACTACAGCCCCCCGGGAAGGACTGGCGCCCCTGCAGACCAAAAGGCAAAGGCCCCAGGCCCTGTGAGAATAAGGGACCTCCAGTAGCAGGAGGGGAGGTGCACAGAAGCCCTGGGCAGTGAGTCACAGCTGAAGTGTGGCCGTCACATGGCCATGGGGAGGGCCTGGGGGAGGCCTGCGGGAGGAAGTCACCTGCCCAGCACATCTGTTCACTAATGGCTGAAGCCCAGGGGTGACCACACCCCTACCCTTTCTCCCCCACCAGCTCCCCTGGGGCCAGAGCAGGCGGGGCCGGCACTCACACTCGGCAATGTGTTCTCATTTTGGATGACAATCTGCCGGAGGAGGCGCCGCTCGTAGTCCTGGTCCATGGCGAGGCAGGGCGGGCACGGCCTGCCGGCCAAGGTCAGCCGCCAAGTTCAGCCAGCCAAGGTCAGCCTGGGGCAGGAAGGGCAGGAGAAGTCAGCACCAGTGGGCACCCCCCACCACCACCTGGTGACCACAAGGCAGACCTTGGGAATAGCTGAGTCCTCCCACCATGTGATGGGGCCCTCTCTCCCAAAAGCCCAGGGTACAGCTTGGCTGCACCCCACAGGTCCTAGAAGGCAGAGACAAGCCAGGGACAGATGGAGCTCCTCTCCATTTCCTCTGCAGGGACCTTCCTCCAGGCCCCCTTGCCTTTGTCAGGGGATGGCCCCACCCACTCCCCCAACCCAGGCCTCCCATCTCATCAACTTCTTGCTTCAGACCCTCTGAGGCCAGGAACCATCCGAGGGGCCACGACCCTTCTCATTGGCCCTGAGAGGGAGGCAAGGGGCTGGGCAAGGGTTGGGGTGGTCCCAGAGAGGATTCCCCACTAGGATTCCCCATGTGGCCTGATGCACAAAACAGGTGGGGATCAGTAAGCTCCAGAGGAGTGTGCCACGCCTGGCTGGGCACTGGGCCCTGTGCCAGCACGTGGGCTCCAGGGCCAGGCCGACGAGGTCGTAGCCCAGGGACATTGGCCTCCAGCTCCCACCCAATCTGGGGAGGCCTCTCTGAGGAAGAGGAGTGAGAGCATGCCAGCAAGAGGAGGCTGGAGAAGAACATTCTAGAGCGGGAAGAGCAAATCTGAGGCAGGGAAGGGCTGCATGTGTTCTGGGATGGGGCAGAGGCGAGTGGCAGCCTCAGGGAGAAGGGACGTCCTCTACAGCGGGGACGGTAAACCAGGGTCCAGGGACAAACCGGGCCCATGGCCACACCTCCAGCTGTCAGTAGAAGATGCTGCCAGGCCTGCCCGCCCCCCTCCCCCCGCCGGCAGCGCACAGCATGCAGAGCGCAGCAAGTGCCCCGGACGGCTGACTGTGGCTTCTCGCTGTGGCCTGCTCTGCACCCCGGAGCCCCCGCCACTGCCACTGTCTCTCTGCTCCTGTGGCTATGGCCCAAAGGTCCCAATGCATGCAGTGCCTGTCCCGTTCCAGCCTGAGCCTCCAGGTGGGTGCTTGGGCTGAAGACAGACCGAATATCAAAGAAGTCGAAAGTAGAGGCCAGCTGAGAACTGAGTTTATGAATTCCTGTAGCATTCTGAGCTCAACACCTGACTTTTGAGAAAAATTACAGTAAAATACAGATAACGTAAAACCACCATCCCAACCACTTCAAGCGCACAGCTCGTTGTGTTAAGCAGACGCTCATCATCTTGCAGCTGTCACCACCATCCATCTCCAGAACTTTCTCCTCTTCCCAAACTGAAACTGTCCCCTAACTTCCTATTCCCCCCACGCCTCCGTCGGCTCCTCAAGAAGTCACATGCACAGCCACGTGGCCCAGCAACTCCATACCGAGGTTTACACCCGGGAGATCAGAAAGACATTCACAGAGACCAGCGAATGTTCCCACCAGTGTTACCCACAATCATCAAAAAGAGAAACCACCCCAGTGTCCAGCGAAAGGTAAGACACACAAGACGTGGTCCAGCCATACGGTGGAATATTCAGCAGAAAAGGGAGTTCTCACATCTGCTATGACATGGATGAACCCTGAGAACATGACACTCAGTGTAACAAGCCAGACACAAAAAGATGCACCCTGTGTGATGTCACTCACAGAAGGTCTCTAGAGAAACCAAATCCACAGAGACAGAGTAGAGTAGAGAAACCAATTGCCCTTTTAAAACAAGGTCCCTGGGGAAAGTACGGGCTCAGAGTCACCAGGCAGGGAACCGATCAGGGCTGACAGCACTCACGCCCCGTGGCGAGGGGCTGCACTGTGGGATACTAGGTGCGTCTGCCTAGGCTCTGCTTTACACCCCCAAATGGCCCCGTCACGGAGACCAAGCTCACCGTGTGGCTGAAACAGCACCTCAAGCTTGCTGGGACTTTGTCCTTCGCTTGCCACGACAGGACACACAAGGATGCCTTGGTGTGGCCCCGGCCAGAAGCTGAACACCTGGCCAAAGTGCGTGATGCAACCACCAGTCCCTGTGCTGTGTCCTTGCCACACCCACCACTAGCAGGCGGCACGCTTCGCCTTGCGCTCCCCAGCGCAGCGCCGTGAGCTGGACGCCCGGAGAACCCCTCGTGCAAAGGAGGATAAAGACAGAGCGAGCGGCAGCAACACCCCTCCCTCCACGGAACTGGACACCCACGGCCCTCCCTCCACGGCCTGGCTCCTCTGAGCCTGTGCCGGCTCGGAGCCTCGAGCCACGCTGTCCCCCACCCTGGCAGGCAGCAGGCCTCTTCCGCTGGGGAGAAACTGGGGCTGCAGTGCCTCAGTTCCGTCCTGGCTTAAACCTCTGGGATCAGCGGCCCCATCTTGACTACAGGCTTCCTGCTCCCTCCACCTGCCCGGCCCCAGCAGAGGTCCCCAGATGCATTTCTGTCCATTGTGGCCATAGGACAGTCTCCAGCAAGGGCCGACACTGCCTCCTTCCTTCTGGCCTCCCTCACTTCCCCTGGGCCAGGGCCCCTCCCCATGCTCCTCCTCCCCTGCGCCCCCAGCCCGGCCTATCTGGCTCAAAGTCCACTCACTGACCTACCCAGGTTGCACCTGCCTCCTCCTTCCACCCCCAGGTCCCCAGGAGGCCTCGGCTGCGCCCAGCATCCCCCTACACATGCCCTCACACCTGACAGCTCCTGGGGCAGCATGGCCATATATCTGGGACACGGAGACACCTATCTGAGCACCTGTCCTAGATGGAGACACCTGTTCGAAGAACAGTTTCCCACGGGTGGGCCCAAGGACCTTGCTCAGCACGGCGCCGGGCTCTGCGTGAACCAGGACAGAGCCCCGGGGCCACCTCGAGCGAGCACCCTGGGAAGGCGGTTCACAGGGGCTGGACAAGAACGGGAGCAGCAAGGTCTCCAGTCTAGTCAGCTCTGAACGTCAGCGGGGGCCATCCCACAAGCGGGCCAGCTGGCTGTGCCCCCACTTTGCAGACGAGGAAACGACGCTCAGAGGGGCTGGCTACCTCCCCGCAGCGGCTCTGCCTGGGGCTTTATTTACTGTCCACTGGGCAGTGAGCCCTCGGGAGACAGGGTGAAGGCCGTGCCCAGTGCCCAGCGGCCGCTCCTCTCCATGGCTGCCAAATGCGCTGTAGGCCACCCAGCCGCCACTGCTTAAAGTGCGCTGTTTTGGACGGCTGGCGGTCTGCTCCCGCCGGCGAGGGTCCAGGGGAACACGAGCCCTCCCCAGGAAAGAACCCAGGGGCCTTGACGCGGACTGCTCAGGCTGTGGCAATGGCGGTCCAAACCTCCTGGCCAGATGAGCTCACTCCCCAAGGAGACCACCTCCATGCACCAACGCCACCAGGCCGCGGGGCTGGCAGGGCCCAGACGCCAGCTCGGAGGCACTGCACACGCCGGAAACTCGGCAGAGTCTGAGGCGCGGTCACCTCCGAGATGCAGAGCGTGAGTCTGGTCTCCCAGGATGAGCTAAGACGCAAAGTGCCACACAACCGGCTGTGCGCTGAACTTGAGTCTAGGAAGTATGTCCAGCATGGCGCGTCCTCCGGTCACCAGCAGATCGGCTGCCCGTCTGCCAGCTACATCCCGTCGTGGTAGCTTACGGCAGCCTGTGCGGTAGGCAGCGCCTAGCCACTTACAGATGTGGCTAGTGAGGACCAGAGAGGTTTCAGATGCTCAGTGTGTATGGTCCTCGACCCCAGGACCTGAGGGTATGCCACGTCACGTGGCAAAGGGAACTGTGCAGATGAATTAAATCAAGGCCCCTGAGAGGGGATGACCCTGGATTCCTGGGGGCCCAGTGTCCTCACAATGGGGAGGCGGGAGGGTCACAGAGAGATGATGAGGCCGTGCTGCCTCTGGAAGCTGGAAAGGGCCGAGACGGTTCTCCTGGAGCCTCAGGATGGCCTGGCCCTGCCCACGCCTGGACGGCAGCTCTGTGAAAGCCATGTTGGACTCCCGACCCCAGGACTGTGAGAATAAATTTCTGTTGTTTTAGCCACCAAGTGTGTGGTGATTTTATGGCAGCTGCAGGACACGGCAGGACAGGGGAAGGTGGCGACCACACTGCAGCCTCCCTCACCAACCCTGCTGGGGGTGGCGGCTGCGTAGAGGCTTTTGAGACGCCTGTGCCCAAGGCGGGCCCTCGGAGGCCTTCTCTCCGCTCGCCCCGTGCAGCTCACCGTGGAGGGCTGACCAGTCCTTCCCTCTCCACGGATTCCTCCCCGCCCTCGACTCCCAGAGGACCCTGCTCTGCCTGAGGCAGGAGACCTTCTCTCCACCTATGCACGCATTTGCTGAGCACCCAGCACAGGGCTGGGGCTGGTGCCACTGAGCAGGCGTGGAGACCAACACGGTCCCAGCCTCTCGTGCTCCCGGCCTCTTGGGGCGGCAGGCCAGAAACACGGAGCTGGGTGAAGAACAACTCCAGGCACTGGCATCTACTACCAGGATGCATATTTAAAAAGTGGCTCCAACATCCAGCTGAGTACGGGGGAGGGGGAGGGAGCCGAGGGGCCACTGGATCCCAGCACCTGGCCTGGGATGGTCTCCCCAGGCACCTGCAGGGGGACCCATGTGGGCATGGGCACGGTGGGGGGCTCCAGAACGCACGCTTCCCAGGCTCTGGCCTGGTGAATGCAGGTAACGATCCCGACGGGGGTGACACGGCTCGTTTCTAAAGCGGCCCCGCCACTGTCGGGAGCACCCACCCCACGCACCTCGCCCGGTTTCTCTTGGGGAGGTGGAGGAGGCAGACCCAGACTCGATGGGCACTACCAGGATCTTAGAAGGACAGCGATCACCAGCAGGTCAAACGGCCGCAAACTCACGCCCGAGCTGCACAGCCCTGCAGCCCGGAGCTCGGCCAGTGTGCAGTCCGGCCCATTCCAGAACGCTGACCGTGGCGCTCGAAAATGGGTCCTTGGTCCCAGGATTGGGACCTCCGGGGGCACCCACACCTCAGCGCCAGCGTGGGGACCCCCACCTGCCTCTTCTAAGACTGCTATTTACCGTACTG